ACAATAGTCACACAACCACCAGAAATAGCCGGTAATGGCCAGTGTGGATTTGGCCGGAAAAGGCCAGATCTGGCCGTTGTTGTCTGTCAACGATGGCCAAACGACAGCCATATCTTGGGCCGACGATGACCTTTTCCGGCCGTCGAAGGCCACATCCCACCTTAGATCTGGCATTTTTCGGCCAGATCCATGATGGATATGGCCGGAAAAAGCCATATCAATCGAATACCCACCAGATCCGACTGGTATGTGTGGTTACCCAATTTTTCGGCCAGATTTTGACGGTGGTGGCCGGAATCTGGCACTGCAGGTGGTAGGGGTGTTTTTGTCATTTTATAATATTTTAATATATTGGAGTGTTTATTAAATTAGCAAACCTTAGGGGTTTTTTCATAAATTTTTAAATTTTATCTCGTAATACTCTCCTACCCAACTATCCAATACTATCCCCAAAATCCTATCCAAAATAATGAACCAAAACACCCTAAATTAATTTATTTTAGTTATTAGTTCTAAATTTATTAACATTATTTGTTTATCTTATATATTTGGCAATTTTATTAGATTAGAGTGTATTTATTTGAACTTTATTCTTTACCTTATTCTATAGTCTATACCACTTGCATTAATGATAACTAAGTCAAAACAATAATTTTTGTAACTCACCTTTATTAAGTTATAATCTCTTCATANCGTTGACCCTTTGACATGCCTCAGCCGTTGGATCTGCACAGCTTGGATGGACAGGATGCACAGATTATTCAGGCCAAAAACTCTGCGTTTCACTTAACCGTAAAGCGGCATCATTTTCAATCTTCACTTCAACAGGGAGTGTTTTGCAACTATGCTTTCTAAAAATGCGAAAAACAATCGAGAGTTGATAACTCGAACTATTGGAAAAAAGACGCAAAAATCAAATCTGGTGTAAAGTGAACTATTCCTATCTTTTATACCGTTGACCCTTTGACATGCCTCAGTCTTTGGATCTGCATAGCTTGGATGGACAGGATGCACAGATTATTCAAGCCAAAAACTCTGCGTTTCACTTAACTGTAAAGCGGCATCATTTTCAGTCTTCACTTGAACATGGAGTGTTTTGCAACTATGCTTTTCTTGCTTTGTTTTTGAACTTATAAGTTTACATAGTGAATTTGCTTCTTCTAGACTTGGTCCCATAGATGTAGGCATGGTTCCGAACCATGTAAAAATTAGTGTGTTCTTTTCTTGCTTTGATGGATATTTCATTTATGCTATGAACAACTCTTGTGCACAATATGAATAAGGAACCCATTCTGCATAAGTATTAATTACTTGATAACTCCTTTAAAACTTTCAACTAACATGGCTTCCAACCTGCCAATTAATACCGTTTAGAAAATGAATATAAGTGTAATTAATTTTTTTTTTTTTTTTGTAATTAAAGTTTAAGAAATAATACAGTTGACTAAGGTGGTGTTCGTTTTTTCATCTCAAAGTTGAATGTGTTCGAATTTGAATAAAATTTAATTATATGTTTATTTTATTATTATTATTATTATTTTAATGTCTAACTGCAAGTGTTAAGTTGTTCATTTTTGTGGACGTAAACATCTTAAGACTAATGCTTTGTTAAATATCATATCATAATTAAATATTTAAAAAAAATTAATGATTAAATTGTGAATATCAAAACAAAACAGACGTGTATGTATAAATTAAACAAATTTGTTTACATATTTTTTTTTTCAAATAATAACATCAGAAATAATATTTATAGTGATAAAAGTATTTAAGCAATAACTAAGGGTGCGTTTGGTTCATTGTTTTTATCCATATTCCCAATCCTATTCTTCAAATGTTGTTTGGCACATTATTTTAAAAATATTAGTCTATTTTTAATTACTTTTAGACCCCATAAGTTTATTAATTTCATTAAATACCCCCTAGAAAAAAGTTTAAAAACTAACAAAAACACCCCCATCCACCAATACTTGCCACCACCGGTGGTAGCCAGAATCTGTCACAATAGTCACACAACCACCAGAAATAGCCGGTAATGGCTAGTGTAGATCTGGCCGGAAAAAGCCAGATCTAAGGTGGGATGTGGCCTTCGACGGCCAGAAAAGGTCATATCAATCGAATACCCGCTAGATCCGACCGGTATGTGTGGTTACCCAATTTTTCGGCCAGATTTCGACGGTGGTGGCCGGAATCTGGCACTGCGCGTGGTAGGGGTGTTTTTATCATTTTACAATATTTTAATATATTGGAGTGTTTATTAAATTAGCAAAACTTAGGGGTTTTTTCATAAATTTTTAAATTTTATCTCGTAATACTCCCCTACCCAACTATCCAATACTATCCCCAAAATCTTATCCAAAATAATGAACCAAAACACCCTAAATTAATTTATTTTAGTTATTAGTTCTAAATTTATTAACATTATTTGTTTCTCTTATATATTTGGCAATTTTATTAGATTAGAGTGTATTTATTTGAACTTTATTCTTTACCTTATTCTATAGTCTATACCACTTGCATTAATGATAACTAAGTCAAAACAATAATTTTTGTAACTCACCTTTATTAAGTTATAATCTCTTCATAGTAATAAAATTAATTTGGACCCACCATTATGATTATAGAGAGATTTTACTATATTAAGATTAAAGAAATATTTTTCTTCTTAATATTTTAAGTTTTGGGTTCTTGGCTACACCCTGGATCAAGGTTTAGAAACCTGATCTGGGATGTCACCCGATCAAGGGGTCGAGTCCTGGTTTGCCCAGTCCGACAGATTGAACCGGTGGTCCAAAAAGTTTAAAATATTGCAAACACACCCCAAAAAAAGTGCAATCCTTGCAAGTTTGAAATCTATCAAATACACCCCGTAATATGAACCTAAATTGAGTTTTCCGGCCAATTCTAGGTAATTCCGATGGTCAAAATTCAATCTGATATCACCACTTGAATCACTATCCTCCACTCTACAAAATCCCTCTAAATTTGGAAGTTGGTAGCCTCCTATTCGCAGGCATTGACTCACGAACAACATCACAATTGGGTTAATTTTCTAGCCAAATTCTGGCTGATTCCAATGTCCAAAATTCAACCTGACACCACCACCTGAACCACCGGCCTCCATTCTACGAGACCCATCCAACCCCAACACTTGGTAGCCCCCCATTCATCGGCTATAACTCGAGTATTGGGTTGATTTTTCTGGTCAAATTCTAGCTGATTCTGACGTCCAAAATTCAATCCAGCACCACCCTTTGAACCACCGGCCTCTACTTACAAAAACCCTTTAACATCAGCACTTGATAACCTCTCATTCACCGACAATCAGATTAGGGATTTGGTGAATAGTTACAAATAGTCAACTGGATCGGAGAGGATGTCGATCACTGGTTGGATTGGTCTGATCGGCCGATCCGATCTAGTTTTCAGAACAATGCCTTCGATTAATGGATAATATGAATTAACTTATTATACTGATGATGTGGTATATATTCAATTGTCATATAGGCAGCTCTTAGACCATATCTATAATAAAATATTTATAGAATAATTTCTTTTTTAAATTGGAGGAATATATATATAAAGTAAAAGATGGTTTGATGTGAACGGAATCTAGAACTAAACTATAGAATATAATAAAATTAATATCAAATATATAAAGTATATATAAGATTATACTTATCCTTCTATAATTTTTTAATATAATAATTTTATAATGCAGGCCCCTCCAAAGATTAGATATGGCCCTAAAGTATATATGCTTATATTGATTAAAAAATAACCTCGCAAAGAACCATTGACAATGTCTTAAAAAACAGGTCAGATTCTTGAATGGTAGATACACAAATCTAAAAAGAGAACTCAATGATGACGGCGGTGTGGCTGATAACTACATTGGTCAGTTTTTTTTAACTTTTTCTGTAAAAAAATTATTATCAATATATTTAAAAAATTTGTTAAAGACATATGCCTATTTTATTCGTTTTATATGTATTGAATTTGCATTTCTAAAAGTAAACAAATAAAATAAAATAAATAATAATAATAATAATAACTAACAATCATCTTAAAGATGGTTTATAAAGTTAATTATCTCTTAAGTTTAAAAATTAATAAAGATTGGTTTACAATTCAATCTTATAAACTCTCTCTCAAAACTCCTACATGACAGTTCTCAGTTTTTTACTGATGAATCAACAAAAAATTGGAGGCTACCACCTAGGGGCTATGCGAGAGTTTGTGAGATTGAATTGTAAGTGAAGTATTGCCCTTAAAAAATAAGTGTTGAAAGGAGAAACTAAGGGATCTCAAACTGAGCCTTAGCCTGGGAGGATAGGAATGTGGAACTTTGGATTCTCCTTAATTTTTAACAAATTCTCTATAAGGTTTTAATCAATCCATTTTTCTTTATTAAATTTGTTTCAAAATTATCCTTGCTTAAACATAAAACATATCGGTTTAGGTATGTCATTTTTCCCTATATAGTTTGTAGGAAAACTTAAGTTATTTTAGGTTATAAATTAAATTTATTATACAAATTAGAAAAAAAAAAAAAAAAAACATAAGGAGTAAAATTTGTAAGGATCATATAAACTTCGTTTTGCAGATTATAATAAATAGTACAGAACTTAATATATTAATATAGGTAAAGATAATGAGTAAAATCCATCTTATTTAATTAATTATCTTAATTATAGAAGTTTATTTGTATTCTGAAAAATGAATTCAATACATTTTTAATGAAAATTATTATTATATTTGGAATACAAATAGATATGACTTTGTAATTATTTATTTATAACATATGATCTTCCCTAAAAAAAATTGCGATTCCATCACTGTGGTTAGATGACTTAAAATTAAAGATAAATTAAAATAAATGTCGTGACTACAATGTTGGTACATCACTTGTATATATGCCTTCATTTGTATGATGAATTTATATAACATCACTTCTGTTACCTCCTGTTTTATTCTGTGTCTTTTTTTAAGTTCTCCCTTTTATTTTATTTAATAATTGTTACACCTTCTTCTGCCAGAAGATATCTCTCTCTCGTCATGAGCTTAAGTAAATGATAACTTGAAATGTCTTCCTCCCATTTCCGGCTGCAATTAATATTGGAGAACTAAGAACAAGGAGATCATCACAGATCAATTTCGCAGGTTTGCTTTATGCATGAAAACGTTCATATTCTTTATTCTGTTTTCTTTTTCTTTTTTTTTTTTTTTTTCCTTGTCATTTTTAGGTTTTTGTGACAACCAGTATTTACTATTGATCTACACCACTGGAAACAAGAGCAACACCGATGCATGCATGGTAAGAAATTAATAGATCGGTGAGTTTACGTCGGAAAAGTGGAACTCCGATGCTTAGGGAATTGCCGGTATAACCTTATTAGAGTTCCTCTATTCGGATGCTTAGATTGGCGTTGGTGATGGCCATCAAAATACAAAATAGTGGCGCTGTCGATAAGGCGACATTTAGACCGGCATTAGTGATGGCCATCAAAGTACAAGCACAGTGGTGATGTCGACGAGGCGACACTCAAACAAGCGTCGTTGATGGCCATCATAGTACAAACATAGTCGTGGTAGTGGCAAGGCGACACTTAGACCTACGTTGATGATGGCCATCAAAGTACATACAAACATAGTGGCGGTTTTGGCAAGGCGACGCTTAGACCAGCGTCAATGATGGCCATCAAAGCACGTATAGGCACAGTGGCGATGTCGGTGGTAAACTCGCCGGTCTTTCAATTTCCTCCCCATGAAATAAGATGATTGAAAATGAGGATAGAAACTGCTGTAGAATAGAATAATCAAAGAAAATTTCTTTTAGTTTCCTTGATTCTTTTTTGTGTTTTTTATTATTTATTTCTATAAAATATTCTAGAAAGAGGTTATAAAAAATGATTTTTTTTGCTGTAAATCTCTTTAATACTATTATATGTACAAGCATTTTATTTATTTTTGTTTATTTTCTATCAATCAGAAAATTATTTTTGTTTTGAAAAAGGCAACAATTTTATATTTTCTACTATAATTTGGCCTACGAGCTTGATTTGTTTTTATAGAATAGAGAATGAGATATATTAGCGAAATTTGAAGCATAAATTAGTGCATAAACTCCGATTTAGATTCATGGATTGATTTTTCTTTTCGTGCTTTTTAATAAATTGTATCTGGCCATAATTCACAAAAGGTTACTGATGTAGGAATATTTCTCTTCCTAATTAGGACTTGATTTCTTATTTTATGCTAATTATTTTTCCTAATAGAATTATGATTAGTCCACTATAATTCATTCTAAGTTTTCAATAAAACCTCTTATTACTTCCTTTGGGAATTTATCTTTGTCGAAAATCACTAGAGTCTGAGTCGTAAGGTTAGCTATATATTCGATTATAATTATTTTCATTTCTGAAATAATAATTAAAAAAAATCATCATCAACAAAGAATAATACACTTTTATATTCAGGATTTGTGGTTTTGTTTTCTTTTAGAATAATATTACACCAATAATCATTTCTCACAAACTTTCTTTTGTAATCCTGATGTGGTAGTTCACAATTGATCAGTTCATAATGGGTCTTACACAATTCTCCCTAATTAATTACGAGTTAATCAATTGCAAGCTATCATATGAGAGAAAGTTTGTAAAATAAGGTTATTGGTGTAGTGTTGCTCCTTCTTTTATACTAAATAAAATATGCGTGCGAGAGAAATACAGTTTAATTGCTTTCTCATTTGTTGGTTGTATACTGTAACATGATATGGCCTAAGTATTTTTCGGCGAGAAGAAATAAATTATACTAATATTTAATTTTCAACTACATTTGTAGGATGAAGAGTGTTGAGATGGTAGTTCGAAAAGCTGTGAAATCAATAATTGGGCTACCAGTTGGAAATCGCAAATGCGTATTGAAGCGTTTGAAGATCAAAATCAAATGTGTTAACCAGAAAAGCATGCGCAACAGCTTTTGCAGGCTCTCGAGTGAGCTAGATGAAATAGAGGAAGATGTGAAAACAAAACTGGAGGCAAATGATAAGGAAGTAGAAATATCGCAGAAGATGTGCAGAAGCGAGACATGGCTTAGTGAGGTGGAGAGAATGAAAGAAGACGTTGAAGATTTGAAATCCGAATACCAAAAGAGTAGTAACCAGTTGATGATGTGTGGAGTTTGTCCATCTCCAGATATGTTGAAGCTTTATAGAAGGGTCATGAAAATAACTGGGAAAATACAGAAGCTGAAATCTCAAGTCAGTCAAAAGTTTGTGATGTCACCAACTCGGAGTAAGAATCTGAATCAGCAGGAAGGTGAAGCTGAGACGAAAGGTGAAATTGTGGAGATAAGTGAGACAATGCAGCAGGCTGCAGTTGCGAAATCTTTCATGGCTGTGGATCAGGTTTGTAGACTGAATTCACCCTTAATATATACCTAATCACTCATAGATATTGTCATATCCCATATGGCCCAGCCATTGAGTTAGGATACGGTTTATAAGGCTAGGATCTCCGTAACTACTTAGATGGGTTTCGGGTGAAGTTTCTAATTGATCTTCACCGATTATTAATCAGATATGTTTTGGCTGAAGTTTGTTTGGGTAAGGATCAATTAGCTGGGCACTATAAATCATTTCCTCTTGAATAATTCCCTTGGACCCAATATAACCAACCCAATCAGGCCCATTACGCTTCTGCATTATTAAGCATAGTAAAAAACACGTTTTTGTCAATCAATTTTTTTTTTTTTTTTTTCCTTTTTTGTGACGGGGTGTTGGAACTTATATGCATCTTAACTAATCTTTCAAAGTCCTAAAGTTACCAATGAAATAAGCTCCTTAGTGGTCATCCTTATTAAGGTTTATGAGGACTCGAATTTAGGAACTCATGAAACATTCTTTTACTCTTTTACTAAGTCACCCCAAGCTCGGACGTCAATTAATCCTCCAAGACTCTGAAGTTGTCGACCGGATAAACTGCTTAGTGGCCACCCTTATTAGGGTCCAAGATAACTCAAATTTAGAAGTTCATGAAACATTCTTTTACTCTTTTAACAGGTCACCTATTGGTGGTTAAAATCTCTGCTAGCATGACATTTTAAATGGTTATAATGAAAGAAATATAAAAATAAAAAGATAACAAAATTTTGGTCATACTTGTTTATTTTAGTTGATTTGATCAAGTTTTCACAGGTTAATGCATCTAGGATGGGATCCGTGACTGAAGATGAAAAAATGCTACCACCAGAACCAGATGCTGTACCAATAAAAGAATCTGAAATTCAGCTTATTTGCTCTGAAACGATGCATCCCAATGAGGAGATGAGATATGAGGCTCTAACTTCACAGTCTGAAAGAAGCAGGATGAAGCCTGGAGTGACAGAGAGTGTGAAACAATCTGCTGTTGAGCCTGTTGTCCCAAAAACAGCCATGAAATCAGGCTCGAGTATTATTACAACTGAAGATCAGTTTTTGCTTGAATCAGGTTTAGATGTCAACGATTCAATTATGAGAACTATGAGGAAGATTTTTAGATACATGAGTGAAGTTACAGCCACAAAAATTGGTGTTCACGGAATTGGAGGGATTGGGAAGACTACTGTGCTGAAAGCCTTGACAGGTTGCCCCAGAATTAAAAGCATTTTTTGTGTGATTATTTTAGTGTCCGTTTCAAGATATTGGAGCACAAGAAAGATCCAAAATGAAGTTTTAAAACAGTTGTCATTGTGTTGTGAGGATTCTGAAACTGATTCTCAAGTTGCAGAAAAGTTATTCCAAGTTTTAAAAGGAAAGAAGTTTTTGTTGCTTCTGGACGATGTCTGGGAGCATATAGATTTACAGGCAGTTGGTATTCCTGATCCCAATATAGAAAATGGCTGCAAAATAATAATGGCTTCGAGAAAGGTAGATGTTTTGCGAAGCATGGATGCAACTGGGGTGATTGAAGTGGAAACTGTTTCCGGAGAGGAAGCTTGGAAACTTTTTCATGAACAAGTGGGAGGAATCATTGTCTTACCAGCGATCCAGCCCTTGGCGCAAGCTATAGTTGAGGGCTGCGGTGGCTTGCCACTGCTGATCATTGTCACTGGTAGGGCATTAGCGGATGAAACTAATATTTCTGTGTGGAAGCATGCATCCTGGAAATTTTCACTTCCTGGAACTACTAGAGTATGTCAAATTGAAGATGTAATCGGGCTATTGCAGTTCAGCTTTGATCAACTGAAGGATCATGAGATGAAGAGTTGTTTCCTTCTTTGCGCTTTGTTTTCAGAAGATCTAGAGATCGATGTTTTTGAATTCGTTGAATATTGTATACAGGAAGGTATAATCTGTGGAACTCTGGCTGATGCACATAAAAGGGGATATGATACAGTTGATGTACTAGTACGTGCTTCACTTTTGCAAGTTTCTGAAGGTGGAGATTCCATCAGAATGCATGATTTGATAAGAGATTTAGCGCTGCGGATCTTAGCTTCAGCGACAGGAGATACCCAGTTTCTGTTGAGAGCTTATTCAAGATTGAAAGAGCTATCAAATCCAGGAAGTAGTCCATCATTCAGGTCACTCAGTTGCCCTGAAAGTACCGGACTATCTATTCCTGAAACTCATCATTTCTTATTGAGAGGTGGTGCAGGTCTAACAGAACCACCTTCCGAGGAGGAGTGGAGACAGGCCAAGATGATATTTTTGATGGACAATGACTTGCGCACTCTACCTGAGAAACCAAATTGCCCTGAGCTTTTTATATTGTTCCTGCAAGGAAACTCTAAGCTTAGAGCCATACCTGCTTCTTTTTTTGATTTAATGACTTCCCTTAAAGTGTTGAACCTATCCAGGAACAGCATCAGGTCCTTGCCAAAGACACTTTTTAAGCTAATAAACCTTGAGATTCTCATTCTCCGTTATTGTGAACGCCTGGCTGTGCTCCCCTCTGAAGTTGGTTTTCTTGAAAGTCTTGAGGTGCTTGATCTCCACGGCACAGAAATTATCAAGTTACCCGATGAAATTGGTAAATTGGTCTCCCTAAGACATTTGGAAGTCTCACTTTATGGATCTATCAACTATACCGAGTACGTTAAACTGCCACAGAAATTGATTTCAAGTGGGATTATATCAAAGCTTCACAAGCTGGAAAATCTAAGTATTGATGTGTATCCAGGAGATCAAAGGTGGTATAAGGATGTGAAATCTCTCATAATTGAGGTCAGCAATAACTTGAAAGACTTGAGTTCTCTGTCTTGTCATTTTCCTGAAGTAGAAACCCTCCAGCTCTTCCTCCAAACAAGCAGTGCATGGAAAACACAACGCTTAAGTGAGTTCAAGTTTGTGGTTGGTCCTGACGTGAAGAGCATTATCTCCCGGGTCCCACATTACATCAAATTTGATTATCACCAGCACGGTCAATGCTTGAGATTTGTAAACAGTGAGAAGATACCTGAAGCAGTTCTTGAAGTATTGGCTCGTAGTACTGCTTTTTATTTAGATCATCACCTTGGCGTCCGGAATCTGTCCGAATTTGGGGTCAGCAATATCAATCGGTTGAAATTTTGCATAATAAGTGAATGTCCCAGCATTGAAACATTTTTGGAGAGTAATGAACTTACTGAGACTGTGTTTCCAATTCTGGAGAACTTTAGTATGCATTATATGTGGAATTTGACAAGTCTGTGGGAGGGAATTGTGCCAGCAGGAAGCTTTGCTGAGCTTAGAATTTTAACAGTGCATGCCTGTCCAAAGTTGAAGTATGTGTTTAGCAGATTTACGAGTGAGTTCATGCCGAAGTTAGAAGAGTTGACAGTTGAGGATTGTCCAGACGTAGAAGAGATCATGTTAGAGGATGAGAATATTATTGATTGTGATCAAATTGCACTCCCCAGATTGAAGAAGCTGAAGCTTCATTATCTGCCTGGATTAGTTAATATTTGGAGAAGCGGTTGGCCCTCATTAGAACTTATCAGCTTTTATGATTGCCCCAGGTTGAAGAAGATCACTGGTAAGGATTCCAAGTTGAAACATAGCAAAATGGAGATTCAGGCGGAGGAGAGTTGGTGGAATGCATTAGAGTGGGAAGATCCTGAACTGCAATTGCATCTTCAAAACTGTTTCACTAACATTTCTGAGGATGACCTGTAGAAAGAAATAGCAAAGGTTCTTGTGTTAATTAATCTATAAATATCATCTTTGTTTCAACACATTTCTTCCTTCCAGGAACAAGTTTGGTTCCAAATTATGGAGGGAGTGTGTTGTGAATAATATGTAAGATTTGTAATCAAATTCAGTTTTCTAGTTTTGCTTCCTGCATTTTGTACTACTTAAATTTTCTACATTAATTAAAAAACAATTCATGATAATTAATGATCCTGAAATATCCTCACTATAAACGGAATTTTAGATTATATTATGTTAAAATGATTCAACAAATTAAGTTAACAATTCCTTCACAAACACTGTTTATCTCACCAATTTTTTTCTTTTTAAATAGAATTAAGAGCAAATCAGACAACAAAACAAGCATGAACAACAAACATAACACATTTACCTATCATTAGATACCAAGCAACCAAGTACTTATCGGAACCAAAAATAGAACCCAAAACACCATTTGAGATATTCAGAATAACATAAATTTACCTTTCTGATACAAAAATTAAGACCTCTGGATATACCATAAGGACAAACCTTATTGTTATGCAATCAACCAAGAACACANTACACTATTCTAAAGAAGCTGAAAAAATATTCACTAAGTTGAGTACATTTACAAAGTAGAGCAGCATACAATAATATCAAGTAACCATTACACTTAATGATGTGTTTCTGGAACTGGAATACACAACTAAATGCACATCATCATTAGGTTTACATAAGTATTTTTGTTAAAAAAAAAAAAGTAATCACTGTTAAACGCCCACCCTGAGCCTGACTTCCAAGTCTAGGCTTCCTTATTCAAACTATAGATCTGAACGTATATATAGAAATTTAAATATGAACAGAAATACAAGAATCTTAATAAGCATGCATAAAGCCCATTTAGGATAAAACCTTTACCTTTAACTTTTTCTGGTGTAAGGGCATTGAATGTTGACTGAACAAAATTTTGCAGGTAATTTGGTTGCTTAAACACTTTCACCTAAAACATCCAGCTAACACATTAGAAAATAATGCAAGGAAAAGCCATCTTAACAACAGCAATTTTATAGGGAACATTCTTGGAAAACAAATAGACTAAAAAAACTTATAGCTCTAATATCTTAAATTATAATCCAATCATATTGGTTCCTATAAATGGATCATGTTAAACGTAAAATCCCGGGACACTCGTAAAGACACTAGCGCCAAGAGTCTCAGTTTGATGCATCAATGCATTAATGCATTTGAAAATGCATCAGATAGAATCAGATTCTTAACTTTTTATGACTCAGAACATCCAGAGTCCCCCTCTAAAAACTTATATGTGAACGTTTTGAGTTAATTAACAACTTGAGCTAGGATCAACATGACGATCACACATAGCAACAAGATCCAGTACAACACTTAAGAAAAAATCTAGCTAAGTAACATCTGTTTAACTTAAAAATCTAGATAGTCAATTAATTAATAACTCCACTTCATTAAATAAGTGAAATATCTACACTTAAGTAACTTAGTCCACTGCTATATCTAAATCAATCACTAGTCATAATGTAACACGTAGAACTCTTCAACTTCAAGTGAGCGAACTTCATATAATCTCAAATTAACAACAAACGAGATCCGAATCAACGAGAACCAAACAGAATCGATCACCATTAAGCAGGTTTGAAGATTTATGATGATGATCAAGAAAAGAACAAGATCCGATTTGACATCGAGAGTCGAGAAAATAAAGAGTGAACTGACCTTCTTGCGGAGGCCAGAAGTGCCAGGCTTCTGGCCGTCGATAGGCGAAGTCTCCTTGCGAGTGACGTTAAACTTCACCATGTTTGTACAGAGAATTTGAGATTCTTCGAGGAGTTCACGAGAGAAGTGTGAAGATTGGTGTGAGCGAGAGGAATTTATAGGAAATAAAATAAATTATGAAATGTAAGGTGGCAAAATCAGAGGGGAACGTGTATAAGATTCTTTTTTTCTTTTTCTTTTTCTTTTAAAAAAAAAAATAAAGAGGAGGAAGATACAAAGAAGAAAAAAGAGAAAATAGGATTACGAATATGCGATTGGCAAATTAAAGCGGCACGGAAGTGTAAGAATATGTAGAAAGAAAGCTGAACGGTTCCTGCGGGTATGGATCTTCGCTCACTCGAGTATTCATTGGATCGGAGTTGTTACAATTTTGTAAAGTTAATGATAATAATAAAAGTATAATTAACGAGAAATACTAAATTTAATTATTTTACTTTTAATATTTATGTCATGTAATCAACCATGAAACAATCACAAACCATAAAGAAAAACAAGAAAAAACACAACCAATCAACACTGGATTTTACCGTGGTTCACTTGCCCTATTTGAGCAAGCTACAACCATGTTGAACTCCGGAAAAGGGAGTTCGCTGCACTATGATTATTAAACAATCACTTACAGTCACGATTACAAGAATACGCCCAAAACTCTAGATCAAACAACTCTGATTCAAACCCGTAATCTGCCCTAAGAATACTCTAACCTGGAAATTCCTATACCAAGAACACAGAAGTTCTTTCCTTGACTGATTAACCCAAAACCACTCAAGATACCCACATATTACAACTGAAATCAGACCCAGAAAATTAAGAACCCTAACAGATCGAAGAACACGAAAAACAGGATCTCTCTCTTGCGTTTGATCTGCCGTTTGCGCGAAGACTCAATCCTTTTATAGTGTTGAATTGTGGCTTGTTTTCATCCGTTAGATTTTCTCTGAATCAGCGATCAGGATCATCTTGGAGCTGTCTTAAAACGACACCGTTCCACTAATACTCAATACGACGTCGTTTTAGCATTCACTCACAACAATCTCCACCTTGAATGCTGAGAATTCACAATACAGCAAACCCAACCAGTTCCCTCATAGTTTTGATCTTCACAGGTTATCTCACATGCAGCAGGTTCAAGCAGTGCTTGAACTTTGCAGGTGAGACAACCTTGGTTCCCATGTCAACTGGATTATCCTCAGTGGATACTTTTCTGAGATCAATTACCCCTTGTGTTACTAAGTCCCTGACAAAGTGGAAGCGAACATCCACATGCTTGGTCGGCTCATGGTAGACTGGATTCTTGCTAAGATGAATTGCACTCTGACTATCTGAGAATACAGTAACCTTACCATCAGTCAGCTTTGCTTCAGCTAACAAACCTTGCAGCCACACAACTTCCTTAAACACGTCAGCAATAGCAATGTACTCTACTTCAGTTGATGAGAGAGCAACAATAGGCTGAAGCTGTGACTTCCAGCTAATGCAATTTCCTCCAAGGGTAAAGTAATATGAAGTGGTGGATTTCCTTGTGTCTTTGTCACCTGCAAAGTCAAAGTCTACAAAACCCACCAAATCAAGTGTATTATGCCTTTTACAGAAATTTAAACCAACATTCAGAGTACCATTAATATACCTTAACACTCCCTTTAAGGCAGTCTAATGCTCACTGCCTGGATTTGCCATAAATCTGCTCAGTAAGGAAATGGAATAGGACAGGTCTGGTCTAGTACTGATCATCCCATACATCACAGATCCAACAACATTTGCATAGGGAACAGATTCCATTTTGACTAAACAGTTTCAGTTTTAGTGCATTGGCTCTTGTTTAACACAACATGGTTTGCAAGAGGCATAGACACTGGTTTTGAATCAGCCATACCAAACTTAGACACTAATTTTTCTAAGTATGATTTCTGCCTAATGATTAGTTCATGTTTACTCCTGTTCCTGGTAATGTCCATTCCTAGGATTCTTTTTGTATTTCCTAGATCCTTCATGTCAAATTCTAACTTAAGCTTTCCCTTTAACTCATGAATTTCAGCCTTAGACTCACTCACGAGCAACATATCATCCACATATAATAAGAGATACACAGGCAGATTCTGATTCAAATTAAAATAAAAACAGTTGTCATATCTACTCCTAGTGTACCCTATGCTTACAATGAAATTGTCAAACCTCTTATATCACTGTCTTGGGGACTGTTTCAGTCCATACAGTGATTTGTGCAAGATGCACACATAGTCAGGTTTTTTTAGGGTCAATAAAACCTAAAGGTTGGCTCATGTAAATATCCTCTTCTAAGTTACCATGCAGGAAGGCAATGGTAACATCCATCTGTTCTAGCTCTAGGTTATAATGGGCAACAATGGAGAGCATTAACCTAATGGTTTTATACTTGACTATAGGGGAAAAGACTTCATTGAAGTCTATTCCCTCCCGTTGGGTGTAACCCTTAGCTACTAGCCTAGCCTAGCCTTGTACCTAAGAGGATAAGTAGCTAAAATTCCCTCTTTAATCTTATACAACCATCTACATTTTATTAGTTTCTGGTCCTTGGGTTTGGGAACCAAGGACCAGGTTCTATTTACCTCAAGAGACCTCATTTTCTCTTCCATTGCTTGCCTCCATTTTTCCCTTTCCTTGGATTTCATTGCTTCTTCATATGAATCTGGTTCTGTTCTTTGAATCCCTGTACCTACAAGCAAAGCAGTATATATCAGTTCAGCATAAGAATATCTGGCAGGAGGTCTTACCTCTCTTCTTATTCTATCTCTGGCAAGTTGATAGTGTTCCAGTTGGGCATGCTGAGGCTTTGGGGCATCTGCTCCAGCTTCTTCACTATCAGATCCAGGATCCTCTGGTTCTGGTTGGTTTTCTAGTGCTTGTTCCTCTTCAGATTGAGGTGGTTCAGCCTGTTGACCCACAGGCTCCACCTCAATTATTGTAATCTCAGATGGATTCTTTGTATGTTTAGATAAAGTGTGGTTAACAGTGTTCTGTCCTGTGGTTTTACAAGGGAACACCCCTTCATTAAAGACTACATCCCTAGAAATAATGATTTTTACCCCTGGTGAATATCTGTCCCAGAGTCTATACCCCTTGGTACCATCTTGATATCCTAGGAACACACACTTGGTGGACCTAGGCTCTAACTTTCCCCCCACAGTATGTGCATAGGCAGCACACCCAAAAATTCTCAAATGACTTAA